AGCACGGCCCAGTGGTCGTGCCGTGCCGTGCCGCCCGTCGTGCCCGTTGTCCAGGCCCAGGCACGGCTCACGTACGGGCCGTGCCGGCCCAGCCCATTTACGGGCCGTGTCGGACCGTGCTTTCTATCGTACCGGGCCATCATGCCTTGGGCCGGCTTGATAAAGCATGGCCCAAGTCCCAGCTCTAAGCAAGGGGTAAACTTTGCCCCCTCCCCCCCAAAAAAAAAAAAAATTGGCCAAAAACACATTTCGCCCAAAAAGCCTACTTAAAGATAAAATACTCAGAGAGTTTCCCCTAAAATATAAAAACTCGAATGAAGTTCTCCTCTTTATAGAAAAGTTCTTTTAGGACATGTTTTTACCCAAAGGAAACAGCGTTATGAGGAAAAGTACATTCGAGTTAATGTCAAGTAGACAGATGTATTCGAGCCAACTTCATCCACCTGACATTATTTTTCCTAATAGTTGTATCCGAGCAGGTTCCTATGGAGTGACAAGGCGCCAAGATAATGGGAAAGTATATTCGAGTTCTCTGGTGCGGCCAAGACAGCTGAAATAACAAGAAAAGAAGGAAAAGTCTTATCGAGCAGTTGACTCATTCGAGGAAAATAATCGTGGGGACCACTTCGACTACTCTAACCAGCTGGCACCAGATGTCGCCTAGGGACCACTAGCAAAGTACTATTATACCCCTAGGGCCTATGGATCACTAGGGGTAATACGGTAACTTTATGTAAGCCCATGATGACAAAGATGTAAATATTTGTGGTCATGGTCAAACACTATAAAAGGCCGACCAGAGTCCTGTAGCAAGAACACAATGAAATAGAGAAAAAGTACCTTATATACATCCTGACATCTACTTTTGGGCTCACTCTCAGGGTAAACGGGAATCTACACTTTCCCGTTTACCCCCAACTCTGTTCGTGCCCTAAGGTCGTGACAGTGGCGCCGTCCGTGGGGACGTAAAGTCTCCATTGGAGTGGGCCCAAGTGGTAAATGCGACGTTCTCAGAGACCGAAAACTGTGCCAATTCGTTACACTGACACTTTTGCAAGTGGGACAATAGCACTTGAGAAGGAACTTGAGAAGGAGTTTGAAAGAGCATTTGAGCAAAGTGATATTGCGAACGTAACAAAAACGCTTGAAGAGAAGTGGGCGGAACAAGTCAGGAAAAGGAAACTGCGAATCCCTCAAAGGAGGAAGCGGGGAAAACAACCACAAGTGAAGTGGAACTTGCCGAAATGGCACAAGCACAAGGGGCTGTTATGATAAGCAAAGAACAATACGAAGGACTATAGAGAGAGCTACAAAGACTCCAGGCTTTGCACAGTCAAGCAATTGGAGCAAGTGGATCTGGTGATCAACTGGAGACATAAGAGGCTGATGGAAAACAACCAAACTTGGCAGAAAACACTCATCAAGGAGATACTTTAGCTGGAGATCCTCAAGTCGTGAAGTTAGCAGAAGAGATTCCTCAAGCCCAAATTATCAAAATACAAGTTCCCACCCAACAAATCCTTCAAATGCAAAACCCCACCCAACAAATCCCTCAAATGCAAAACCCCACCCAAATCCAAAATACTCAAACATAACTTTCCACCCAAGCTCAAATTTCTCAAAACCGAATTCCTATCCAACATCCCAACCAAATTCACTTTTCAACTCAAATTCATCCTTCTCAGATTCCATACCAGATATACCAAAACCAAACACAAAATCCTCAAAACCACACAACTCACGCTCAGATTTCCCAAGCATACACCCATATACCCCAGATACAAAACACTCAAACACAAATACCACAAGTACAAATCCCACAAATCCATATACCTCAAATCCAAACATCTCAAGTGAACTTTCCACATACACATGCCATACAAAATCAAGCAACACAAAACTCCAGTCAACATATTCAAACCTTTTCTCCTTTTCTTACCCAATAAGATGCGACAAATGAACAAGTCTACATTCCACAAATGCCCAACCACATGCAATACACAGGACAATTACCAAACCAAACATTCCCATTCCAAACAACTCAATCCTATTTTCAACCAATCAAAGCGGTGGACACCAAAAGCCCTCTGATCCAAAATCTGCAAATGGCGCCTTGGCCATTAAGTTTTAAGTTGTCAAATATCACCAAATACAAGGGTGATACAGATCCCAATGAATATTTGAGGGTATATGAAACAGCAGTTGAAGCAGCAGGGGGAGATGATACCACAAAAGCAAAAATACTTCAAACCATGTTAGAAGGAGTAGCATTGTCATGGTATACAACAATACTACCAATGTCAATATATTCTTGGGAACATATGAGAGACACTTTTTGAGCTGGATTTATAGGAGCCTATGAGGAACCTAAAGAAGCAGATGATTTGTATGCTATGCGGCAAACGCAAGGAGAAACCATCAGAAGTTTCATTTTGAAATTTTCAAGAGTAAGATGTCAAATCCGACAAGTGGATGATGAGATGCTCATAGCGGCAGCCAAAAGAGCTCTGTTGCCTGGACCTCTTAGGTTTGATTTAGCGAGAAATAGACCAAAAACTGCAAAAGATTTGTTTGAGAGAATGGAAAGTTTTGCGAGAGGAGAAGAAGATGGATTAAGAATGCAAGCCGAAGAAGCAGCACTGTTGGGGAAGAAAATTTCCAAAAACAAGCAAGCATTTCAAGCAGAGGAACAAAAAGGGGAAAATACAAGTAAGCCATAGAAGAAATATAAGCAAGACAACTACATGAATGAGCAAAAGAAGCAAGACAATCTCATTAGAGATGAGGGTAACAATGGAGAATATTTTGATCAGGAGGAGAAAGGCAAAGGTCAGTGGAACAATTTTCATAAAGGAAAAAATCAATGGAATCAGCAGGGAAGAGGAAAAGGCCAAAGATGGAACTCTGGTAGAGGAAGAAACATGTGGTGGAATAATGGAAGAGGAAAAGGTGGAGAGAATGGTGGACAAAAGTTTTGTCACACACATGGACTTAGAGGTCACTCCACTGAAGAGTGTTACAGTAAATTCTAGAAAATACATGGCCCGTGCAATCACGCAACAGAAGAATGTCGACAAATGGCAAGTTTGATGGAGAAACATGTAAGGCAATACGAGGGAAAATATGAAGGCGTCCAAGGAGGACAAAACATGCTGGAAGGACAAAAAGTGATGAAGATAGAAGCCATTGAGGAAGCACCAAAGAGGGTGATAAATGCCATAACTGGCGGTTCATCTTTAGGAGTCGAATCAAAAAGACAGAGAAAAGCTTATGTGAGACAAATAAATCATGTGGGCACAAGTTATCAGTCAATTCCACCAGCTTACTCAAACACAGTTATCTCGTTTGGCCCGGAGGATGCTGAAGGCATACTTTTCCCCCATCAAGACCCGTTAGTAATATCAGTGGAAATAACACAGTGCGAAGTGCAAAGGGTGTTGGTCGATGGAGGAAGTTCGGCAGATGTACTTTTCTACGATGCATTTAAGAAAATGCAAATTCCAGAAGACAGACTAACTCATGCAGGAATTCCTTTACAAGGATTTGGTGGTCAGCAGGTACATGCAATCGGAAAGATATCATTACAAGTGGTGTTTGGAGGAGGAGAAAATAAGAGAAGAGAAGAAGTCGTGTTTGATGTGGTAGACATGCCATATCAATACAACGCCATTTTGGGAAGATCAACAATCAACATTTTTGAAGCAATCATACACCACAATTACATCTGTATGAAGCTTCCGGGGCCGAAAGGGGTCATCTCCGTTCGAGGTGGTCAATTAGCAGCAAGAAAATTTGAGCTTCAAGGAACTCCAAATATGAAAGGTGTACATATTGTTGAACAAAAACAAGGAGAGTACAACAAGAACCAAAAGCCAGTACCAGAAGGGAAAACAAAGAAAGTAGTGTTGGACAAAAATGAACTTGAAAAATACATCTTGATAGGAGAAAATTTGGAGAAAGAAGTTGAAGAAGAAATCTTAAAAGTGGTAAAAGCCAACACGGATGTTTTCGCATGGTCACCGGAAGAACTTGAAGGAGTTGAGAGAAGTCTAATTGAACACAATTTAGCAATCAAGCCAGAACACAAGCCTAAGAAGCAGAAGTTAAGAAGGATATCGATAGATAGGCAGCAAGCAGCAAAGGCAGAACTAGAGAAATTGTTGAAGGCTAAAGTCATTCGAGAGGTTATGCACCTCGAGTGGCTAGCAAACCCAGTTTTGGTGAAAAAAAAGCAAATGGGAAGTGGAGAATGTGTATTGACTTCACAGATCTAAACAAGGCATGTCCAAAGGACGATTTTCCACTCCCAAGAATAGATCAGTTAGTGGATGCCACCGCTGGTTGTAAGCTAATGAGTTTTCTTGATGCTTACTCTGGGTATCACCAGGTATTCATGGTAAAAGAAGATGAAGAAAAAACATCATTCATAACACCTTTTGGAACATACTGCTACATAAGAATGCCATTTGGTCTGAAAAATGCGGGTGCCACATTTGCAAGATTGATATGCAAGGTTCTGGCAAATCAACTTGGCCGAAACGTAGAAGCATATGTTGATGACATTGTGGTGAAAAGTAAGAAAGCTTTTACACATGGAAAAGACTTACAAGAAACGTTTGAGAACTTGAGGAAGTTTTCAGTGAAGTTGAATCCTGAAAAGTGCGTGTTTGGTGTCAGAGCTGGAAAGTTACTTGGGTTTTTAGTATCCAAAAGAGGAATTGTGCAAAATAGGAATGGAGCCACCCAAAAATACAAGAGAAATGCAAAGATTAACAGGGAGAATGGCCTCGCTTAGTAGATTTCTTTCCAAATCAGCAGAAAGAGGTTTACCCTTTTTCAAGACATTAAGAGGGGTAAACAACTTTGAATGGAACGAAGAATGCCAAAAAGATTTTGACGATCTCAAAGATTACCTTCATAACATGCCAACTTTGTCAAGTCCACAAAAAGGAGAACCTTTGTTGCTATATGTAGCTGCCACACTGGTGACAGTAAGCGCAGTCTTAGTACAAGAACAGGGTAACAAGCAAATGCCAGTTTATTTTATGTCCGAAGCATTGCAAGGACCAAAAACAAGGTATACAGAAGTGGAAAAGATGATATATTCTATTGTGATGGCATCAAGAAAATTGAGACATTATTTCTTATCTCACGACATAACAGTACCATCAACTTATCCAATAGGAGAGGTGTTGTCGAACAAGGAAATAGCAGGAAGAATTGCCAAATGGGCTATGGAACTTTTGCCTTTTGACTTGAAATACACATCAAGAACAGCGATAAAGTCACAAGTGTTGGCAAAATTTGTGGCAGAATGGACCCCAGCAGAGTTAGAGAAAAAGAAAGAAGAAGAAAAGCCGTCCAAGCTGAGATAAGATCATTGTGCTCCAAAAATTCCTTTTCAAGCTCCGGAGTGATGAGGCTAGGAGCAATTTCATTTCCAAGCTGATGAAGAGACGAGCGATACTTAAGGTCATCAAGACACAACTTAGAACCTCGACTGCTAGTCTCCCCATCCGCGCAAAAATCAGGCAAACCCATCAACCAAGTGCCATTTTTCGAACATCGCTCGCTGAAACCACCAAGTATATCTTTTATCAACTCGGGAGAAGGGGTCATTCTGTGGCTTGATCTTCAACTATGTTTTTTCTGGATTGGAAATTCAGATTAACAACTTCAGGAACGTTCTCTGTTTGAACAGGATTGACAGGGTTCATGTCCACATCAATAGCATCAATGCAAATAGGTTCCTCAACCTCTTTGGCAGCAGAAGTAAGAACGTTCAAGGGAGCAGAGAGGTAATCAGCTGCAGCTGAAAGAGAATTAACGTTCGAAACATTCCCAATCTCAACTGAACTTATCTCACTGATAGCAGGTAGCTCATAAGACAGAATGTTTTCATCCTCATCATCACTATCCAGAGCAATTCGAACTTTTTTCAAGTTCGAGTCAACAGGAGAACTTGAAGGCATCTTTTTACGCTTCAAAGCAGGACTCGAGTTTTCTTGCACAAAAGGAGCAGTGTGAGTATGTTCGCTCGACTCAGAGGAGCCGCTGTCATCAGACGATTCATCACTTGAATCAGACTCCCCATCCAAGCTATTCTCCTCATTATCAGAAGATGAAGATGCAGCATCTTTTGGATTGATATTCGAGTTTTTCTTCTTTTTCTTCTTCAAATCAGGATGAACTCGAACCATCATATCTTGGCCGAGGGCACTTAGAATCCTGTTTTGTTTTCTACCTTGCTGAACCGCAAGATATGTGCCATGCTCTTTCTTGGTATAAGGGCCAATATATTTCTTGCTTGGCCCATCCACGTCCTTCACAATTTTTGCTGCAAAAAAAAGAAAAAAAGAGAAGAAAAAAAGAAGAAAAAAATGAATTACATATATATATATATATAATGCTTGAAATAAAAAATACATATACAAGGTAAACACTTACTATTCGCAGATATCTCGAAAGGAGGAAGCAAAGAACTAGAACCCTCAGGAATTTCACCAAGAGATAAAGTCCAGTTGGCAGAAAGAGGTCGAATACCAAGATAAATGAACTCCTCGACCAAGTCTCGAACACTAAATTTAGAGACAAGTTCTTCAATTCGAGGGCGAATGTCAGCAAAGTCTTTTGACAAAGTAACAGCTGGATCTGAGATGACACTCAAAGATTTACAAGAAAACACAAAAGGGCATTTTTCCATGGTTTTCAGATCTGCTGGAATCTTATGATAGAACCATTTTGACTGCCAATGAGTTCCCCATTTGGTCCACATAACAGAGACAACTGGCCAAGGACAACCGCGATTTAAGCGTGGCATAAAGTTAACACACCCAAATTGGGAGTTTTGCCTTGTATAGCGCCGAATGGTGTGAAAATAAGCAAAATCGCATCCATGCGGAGTACCACCGCAACTCCGAATAATCCATTCAAAAATTCCAAGCTTAACAAGGGTGTTTGGTGTAAGCTGAGAAAACTCAAGTCCATATAGCCTAAGGACCTCAACAAGAAATGCACTGCAAGGAAACCTGAAGCCAGCTTCAAAAAAATCATCAAACACCAAGGTGTAGCCGGCCCGAGGTGAAGGACTCAACTGTCACGCCCATAAATTTAGCCCAAATTTCCAGACTATTTTGTGTATTAAATCCCTGTCCAGGACCAGCCAGGGTACACAAAACGACAAGTAATAAACAGTTCCAAACGTAAATAAAGCGAAAATTACTTACAGAAGAGGCACTTAGTCCTCACACCGAAACAAAAACAGCAGCAGCGAAAAAGGCAATCCTAGCGGGGCTTCAGCTTTACTCCAAAGGCAAAACTCAACTGGGGTCTGAGCCTTGGTCTTCTAATTTCATCTTCAGCTCAGAAGCACTACACTTCTGAAAAGGGGGAATAATAGCAAGGCTGAGTACAACCACCGTACTCAGCAAGCCACACCAACGATGCAGATGTGCAAGGGGAACACAAGGACTGTTTATGGCTATTTGCATAAAGGCGGTTGTAAAGCATTTTATTGAACAAAACAGTAAAACAGTTGAGTAATTAAAGTAACATTAAATCTCCACTGATCAACGCTACACCACGTTGAACAGGCCCAACCAACCCACCTGAACTACAGTGCATTGGGTCGATTTATTAAGTGTGAGACTAATCACGGTGAATTTGGTCAACCGCCCATAACCACGGTCACGGCTATTCGAATAGTTTTACTCTGATCAGAGGTGTACAACTGTACCCACAAGACACAGCCCCACGACACGTTTCCGTGCGCCGACATGCCACCACGACATACCAGAAAGAGGCCGTGACAGGACCCTTCGCATAACCCCCTCTAGCCAAGCACACCACACCTCAGGTTTCACCCCCGTCCCCAGCAGGCAACGGGCAGTCCCCTCTCGTGCCTAGGTGAATCCGGAAGCGACAGAGGCCGTCGCAGGGCCCGCCCTGCTCCATCACGCCCACCCTTGCCTGGATGCGTCAACTAGAAGAAAGCTACACTACAGGCCTAGCCGTTGCCCACGCTAGCTTATGGTAAGTACGAGAAATTCTTCCAGGATTTCCCGCGAACCGGTCCTTAATTGCCATGGGTACGACTAGCAAAACCATGCACCCATAGCCCACCATTCAGTTACATTTTAGTTGGATAATTACGACCACTGAAACATGGCCAGGTGTCTCGAGCATGCAACTCGTTCTGTTGCTAAAAAGGTCTAATACTGCAATTATCCCATCAACTGAGCAAGTGGTAATTAAGCATGGCTAAGCATATAGTTCTAGCTAGGTCACATAAGTAACATAAGCTAGTCGATTTATTATCCAATATTGACAAAGGACAGATATAAAGTAAACATGGCACAAGCAAACAGATAGGTAAAACCCTGATCCCATGTAATTAGCAAAACATGCATGTTTATTTGCAAACGGTAAAAAATTTATAAATTGGGATCAACATGCTCAAGGGGAATGTGTGACTTGCCTTGCTTCTTCACAACAATCTTCTGAACTCTGATCCTTGCGACTGCGAACTTCCGAAACAACAGAATCTACTCGCTGGCACACAAAACGAGAAAAAAAACTAATAAACACCAAGAAAACAGTATATAAAAAGTAAACAAACATGTAGAGCTCAATTTTAGATGAATTTTGCAAGTTGAATGGCTCAATTCGGAGTTCGAATGAATTAGATATGAATTTTAGAAGTTTTGAGCCATTTTAATGAATTTCTATAATTAATACCAATTTATCGAGCAATTATTAAATATTTTTCCAAAGGAAATGATAAGCGCTGACGGCAGCAAGGGGAAGGGTGCCGACAAGCGGGCCCCACACGTCAGCGAGACTAGGGGAGGGCGCACGGTGGACACGGTCCACCGCGGCAGGGGCGGCACCGTGGACCGAGACCACGGGTGTGGTCCACGAGCGCGACCCTCATCGACAAAAGGGGAGGCTGGCTCGCCGGCCAACCCAACAAGGCGGCGGCGGCACACGCTGGACGACCGGCGACGGCGGCACGACGCGGGCAAGGGGACGGCGGAGGAGGGGGAAAAGGAGGGGAAACAGAGGGAGAGCTCACCGAGCGCCATGGCGGCGAGGGGCAACGGGCGGCGGCGATGCCTTCTCGAGAAGACGGCGGGGGCGGCCTCGGGCAACGACCAGTGGTGCGGAAAGGATGGCCGAGGCGCGGGACGACCTAGGGAGGGTGGTAGAGAGGTTAGGATGGGGACAAGTGGCCCGAGACGGTGTGAATCGCCGGCCGGAGGAGGAGGTGAGAGGTGGAGCTTACCGGCGCGCGAGGAGGACGGAGCTCCGGTGGGTTCCCGACGACGAGAAGCGAACGCCGGACCTCCCCTCGTCGCTGCGAAGCTGATGGAGGAAGGTGCGACGGCCGGGGATGTCTCGGAGTGGCGGCAAGCGGCAGCTGGAGGTGGCAAATGGCAGTGGCGTCTCGGGTTCACGGTGGGAGCAGTGCTTCGGGGGTGAAGGAGGGAGATGGAGTGGATGCCGAGCTGCGCACGATGGCTGCGGTGCTGGGGAAGGCGACGGCGCAGCGCGAGGTGGACCAGAGAGGCGATGCGGCGCGGCTGGAGGCGGCAATGGTGACGGAGAGAGATGGTGAACGTGGCGGCGGCGTTTCGTAGGCGGATAGGGGAAAAAGAGTAGGGGCCGGGGTAGAGCTCGGCACAGCGATGCCGATGACGGTGGTGGCGCGGCGCGGCGGCCCCTAGGGCGGCAGTAGCGGGCGGCTGGAGGCGGTGAGTGGCGGTAGTGGCTTGGCCTCGCGGTGGGAAGGTGGTTCCGGCGGTGGAGGAGGAAAATGAAGTGGATGCCGAGGTGCGGCATAGCGCGGCGAAGCCGGTGGGACCAACGGCGGCGTGCGGCCGTGGCTTTAGCGGCGGTGGAGGGCGACTGGAGGGTCGCCGGCGAGCGGCGGCGCGCGGGAGCGACGCGGGGAGAGCGAGGGAGGCGATGGGAAGCTCGGGGGAGGAGGGAAAACGAACGAGGGGAGCACGGGGAGGGTTTATATAGGCTCGGGAGGGTGAGATGGAGCCGGGGTGAGTTGGATTTGGGCGGCAATGGCCGATGGATGGAGGTGGCGGCGACGTGGGGAAGTGGCGGCCGGATTTTGCGGGAGAGGTGGGGGAATGAGGAGGACGTGGGGCGGCAGAGTCCCACGGCCGGGTGCGGGCGTGCGGAGTGGAGGAGGTGGGCGGATTCGGCGGCAATCGTGGGCGGCAACGGCAGCCATGGCGGTTGGCCGGAGGTAGGAGGAAGAGCTGACAGGTGGGGTCTCGGGTCCCACCTGTCGGCCAGAGGGAGAGAGAGGAGGTCGGTTGGGGGACGCAAAAAAAACTTCGAGAGGGAGGCGATCTGGGCCGGAGGCCCGAGGGGAGAAGGGACGGGGCGGCCGGCCTTAGAGAGAGGGAGGGCGCCCAGGCCGCGGGGAGGCAAAGCAGACTTGGGCCGAAACCGGCCCAAGGGAAAGAAGGGGAATTTAAATTGGTTTTCTTTTTATTTTAATTGATTAAATGAACTTTGTATTGATAATGTTACTTGGGCTCCGAAAATTCGCGGGAAATTTCAGAGAGTATTTTAGGGCACAAGAATATTACAAAATATTCCCGGCCAATGATTTTTAAGGGGAAATTTTAATTCTCCCATTATTTTACTTGATTAAATTGATTTAACTTATATTTAATTTCTAAAAAATACATTATTTAATAATTTTTAATCCCGATCGAAAATCAGGGCGTTACATCAACTCACCAGCAGGACGAATGACTAGATTGAGACTAGCAATGGCACCTTTTGAAACAAGTTTATTGAGCCGCTTTTCAGAGATAATCGATGGACCAAGACCGGAAGATGTTTTCTTCGCTTTCTGTTTTGAGGCCGGTTTTTTGGATTTCCCCATGGTCGCTGAGAAGACTCGAATCAGAAACTCTCGAAGCAGAAAACTCGAAAGGCGTGTCTATACGGAAGTGTTTGAGAGAGGAGAGTATTCGAGACAAACGAGACAAAGACGGGCGCAACAATGGGCCAGGAAAGCGACCCCCGGGCGCTTATATAGCTGTTTTGCGTGTGCGTGTTTTCGTGGGGCCCACCTATCAATAATTAGGCATGAAAACCGAAGTGGCCCCATCCCCTACTCGCGTAGTATGTCCGGATAAGCACCGCCGACGACGCACGATTTTCCTTCGTGCTTATCGGTGCCCTTGTCTGAGTCGTCTCGTCCATGAACGTAAGCATTTGACACGTGGTTTACTAGTAAAAAAATTAATTAAAAATTAATTACAAAAAATTAATAAATAAAAAATAATAATAAATAATTAAGAAAGAAGATAATACAAAAACTCACATGTGCTTTCGCCCAAAACAGGGGGACGACAGTTTATCCCTTACATATTTCTGACCACGGTTTCGGCCGAAAACATCCCGCCCTTATCCGTGAGGGGCTTGTTGTAGCAAGTGGTAAACTTTGCCCCCCCCCCAAAAAAAAAGGCAAAAACACATTTCGCCCAAAAAGTCTACTTAAAGATAAAATACTCAGAGAGTTTCCCCTAAAATATAAAAACTCGAATGAAGTTCTCCTCTTTATAGAAAAGTTCTTTTAGGACATGTTTTACCCAAAGGAAACAGCGTTACGAGGAAAAGTACATTCGAGTTAATGTCAAGTAGACAGATGTATTCGAGCCAACATCATCCACCTGACATTATTTTTCCTAATAGTTGTATCCGAGCAGGTTTCTAGGGAGTGACAAGGCGCCAAGATAATGGGAAAGTATATTCGAGTTTTCTGGTGCGGCCAAGACAGCTGAAATAACAAGAAAAGAAGGAAAAGTCTTATCGAGTAGTTGACTCATTCGAGGAAAATAACCGTGGGGACCACTTCGACTACTCTAACCAGCTGGCACCAGATGTCGCCTAGGGACCACCAGCAAAGTACTATTATACCCCTAGGGCCTATGGATCACTAAGAGTAATACGGTAACTTTATGTAAGCCCATGATGGCAAAGATGTAAATATTTGTGGTGATGGTCGAACACTATGAAAGGCCGACCAGAGTCCTACAGCAAGAATACAATGAAATAGAGAAAAAGTACCTTATATGCATCCTGACATCTACTCTTAGGCTCACTCTCAAGGGTAAACAGGAATCTACACTTTCTCGTTTACACCCAACTCTGTTGGTGCCATGAGGTCGTGACAATCTCGGATGCGAGTAAGCCTTGTACATCTCTGGAAAGGACTCCGACATGGACCTGAAGTGATTCCACAGTTGCTTTTCACTCATCTGCTTCTTGTCCCGTGACTCAACCCTGATGCAGTTCAGAACATGGCATAGGTAGAAGACCTCCTCAGGGCTAAGTTGGAACCAGTGCTTCTGTGCCGCAGCAATTTCGACGGCGTGGCCAAAGGCAGCACGGTTTAGGATCACGGCTTGTTTTGGCTCAACTCCAAGAATGGCACCGCCACCTGGACCTGACAAAATTGCCACAGGCTTTGAGCTTATGAATGAGGCATTGAGCTCAGCAACAATGACTGACATGGGATTAGCTGCTGCTAGTGCTAAGAAGTCCTTGCCATCTTTGCCCTTCTTCCATCTTGGACCTGACAAATCCATATGCTGAACACACTCGCAGAGGATGGACTAAAATTGATGCGTGGTCAAATGCTGTAGTGAATAGCAACGACAATAAAGCAATAAGTAAACAAAGTTGTCCAAACAAATACCTCAACAAATGGAGATTCACTACATACATCACTAATTTATCGAACATGTTAATTTGTAAAGCATAGATACATAAATAATCTGCCAAAATACCCCTGATACGGCCCTACCTCTCATACTCTCTCCACTCTCTCCTACTCTTCCCCGTACATAAGACTTTGCCTTGAGCATCTGCCGAGTGTGTGATACTAGTACGTTGTACGGTGGACTTTAAGCTCGCCCCCTCGTGCTTGGTTAACAACATCACAAGATTGCTCCATGTGCTAATTAAAGACGGTTCCCGCTCACCGCTGATTTCTTTCTTCTCTTCTTGGGTTCTTGATTTCTCGTGAACAGAATCATAGCTTTCCGCAATCGTAATCAGCCATGGCGATCATAGTTTTTGCCAGCAATCCTGACAAGAACTTCTCCCTGAGGAACTTGATCACCGGGTTGGTGCTCTGCTGGATGAAGCCGACGACGTAGGCCGCCGTGATCAGCCGGATGCCGCGCCACCGCCTCTCCTCGGCGTACTTCTCCAGCGCCGCCTTGACGGCCTCGTACCCCGGGTCGTGCTCGGCGCCGTCGGCGAGGAAGGCCTCGCTGAGGCACCGGGCGAGGACGACGCCGTCCTCGAGCGCCGCGCAGCCGCCCTGGCCGAGCTCGGGGGTCGTCGGGTGGAAGGCGTCGCCGGCGACGCAGACGTTGCCCCTGCTGATGCTGCCGCGGACGAGCGCGAGCGGCGACCGGAACCTCAGCGGCGACGACACCACGTCGCTCATCTCGCTCCGCTCGATCACGTCCAGCGCCTCCGCCGGGATCCTCGCCGCCCTCAGCTTCGCCACCACGTAGCTCCGCATCTTGGCCACGCTCTCCTCCGCGTCGCCGTCTGCACACCACACGTGACAGATTGATCAGCGAATTAATCCGCCATTGTTGCTGCTCGTCAAGGGGAAGTAACTAGCAATGGTCCGCACCATCCGGGGAGGGGTACCAGGTGTAGTTCCAGTAGACGGAGGTGTCGGAACAGGGGAGCACGCCGGAGCGGAAGCCCTGGCCGATGAACTGCAGGATCTCCGGGCCGAATCCGTGGCCGGCCGGGTACTCAGCGAGGCCCCTGGTGGCCGAGCGCCCTGAGAGGATCGGCTTTGGCAGGCCAAGCCACTTCGCCACCACCGAGTTCACGCCGTCGCAGCCTATCAGCACCTTCAGAAAAAGCACAGTAATGCATCAGGCCATGGCTGCTCTTAGTGAGAAGAAGAGAGGTACAAGTGATGATGAACAATCAAGGTTGCATCTAGCCATTGTTGATCTCACACACCTTTGCTCTTATCGTTGAGCCATCGGACAAATGTAGGAGCTTGACATTGCCGTCTTCCTCAATCGAGACGATCTTGGAAGAGAACCTGATGGTGCCTTCCGGCAGTTCGTTCTCCAGAGTCTCCAGTAGGAAGTTGCGCTTCACGCACCGAATCTCATGCGGTCCACTGACGAAGTAACGACACAACGACGATTTCAGTTTTCAGGTGTTTACTCGTATAAGTATGATTTTGTTACAAAATTTTAACATTCAGGTCTCAGCTAGCGGTAGTTGCAGACACTGTACCTTTTCCCTTGCATCTTTAGACTCAACTTCGCGGCAGGCTCTCCCGTGGATGCAGAGAAGGCCAACAGCCTGCCAACAAGCACGACAAGTCACAACTTCAGTCGATCACAAACTCTTTAGTCTTAAGAGTTACAGATTACTCCTGCAACTTCAGTAGGTTAATCGAAGGGTAAACTCAAAAGATGGGCTGGAAGGAGCAAGAGACAGTGTAAGCACACAAGTTCAGAGCTCAGACACGGAGTGGGATTGTGGAAAAAGCCCAAAACTTATAAGGTCTAGTACATCAGACCAGGCACTGGCAGACTGACCCAGCATATGGACCTAAAATCAGGTTCATCAGTACGGCCCAGGATGGCCTATCAAACGAGCTGGGCTGTAAATTTGATTTCGCTTAAACGAGAATTATTATACTCGCGTTAGGATTTGTTGTGATTTCGTGACGGTCAACGGACTCCACTGTTCGTCTGTTCCACTGTCTCTGTCTGGCTATTATCTGGATCTACAACTAGAAGGGAAGGGATTGGTAAAGCAAGTGGCTGCTCACCTCTCGTAGAGCAGATGATGCTCCCTGATCTTGTCGCCGACACCAAGGGCGTCGAGCGCGCGGAAGGCGTTCGTCCATGTCGTGAACGCGAACCCGGACGCCCGCAGCGTCGCCGACGACTCCAGCACCAGGCTCCTCACCCCTTTCCTGCACACGGGACGCACCGCCGGCCCAGCTCGATCATCAGCTCCAGATCGATCCGCGCGCGCGCGCGCAAACGCGGAGCAGATCAAGGCGAAACGGTCGGCACAGAGGCTTACCTGTGTAACCCGAGCGCCGTCGCGAGCCCCGCGAGGCCGGCGCCGGCGATGACGATGCCCTCGACGCCCGAGCCCTCCATTGTTCGCGAACCCCCACCCGCGGTTGGTGTCGCTCGCAAGTGGAAACAGAGTGAGGATGGTCGAAGGCTGTACTGCTGCTGAACCAGTTCAGGGTTTTCTATGATGCGCCTTCATTTTGTAGCAAAACGGTCGAGGGGTGGTTGGATTGGACGGAGAAGACCGGATTCCAACGAGGCGGCGCGTCCATCCGTCATGCCAGCGGTGAAACAAACTGGAACATGGCGGCTTTCACGAATTCTTGTATGACTAGTACACATCGAAATATTGGTCAATTGGTCCATGTTAGTCCTCTCGATCGATTTGGTAACGTTGCGCGCAAGTCTGATTACAGAGGATCCAGCATTCCCGGGTTCAATGATTGGCACAAAGGAACTGTCAGGGCTGTTTCGTACTAGAATCGTAGTACGAGTACAGCCACGAGGGCGGCTTGTGAATAAACCCAAAAAGAATTGTTGAGGCAGCAGGTATGCTCGCAAGCAGTGCCCATTCCCCTCCGGGTTGACACGGGAATTTTCGATATCCGACCAAAAACCCAAATGCACTCGACTTTATTTTTCTGCACACAAAAAGGAGCGTTTCACAGGTTTGGGATCATTGACACGTGACGGAACAGTAAAACAGACGGAGCACATACAGACAAACATCACAAACAGCACGACGATATGATTACAGGTTGCAGACTTGCAGCTGGGCGGCGGCCAAAACCCAAATCACGTCAACAAGCACCGGAACTCGAGAGCGTGCCGCAATCGTAGTCGGGCATCATGAGCAGCGTCTTGGCGAGCACCCCGGACAACAGCTTGTCACGCAGGAAGCCCACGGCGGGGTGGTCGCTCTGCTGCACGAACCCCACCGCGTACGACGCACCGGTCAGCTGCGCACTCCTCCACCGCCGGGCGTCCGCGTACCGGCGCAGCGCGGCCTCGACGACCCGGTGACTCTCCTCGGCGGCGCAGTCGCCGGTACGGAGCAGCAGCGCCTCGCCGAGGCACCTCGCCAGGACGACGGCGTCCTCCAGCGCCGTGCACGCGCCCTGCGCCAGGTCCGGCGTCGTCGGGTGGAGCGCGTCGCCGGCGACGCACACGTTCCCCTTGCTGATGCTCGCGAACGGGAGCGACAGCGGCGATCGGAACCGCAGCGGCGCCGCGAGCACGTCGTTCATCTCGCTCCGCTCGACCGCCTCGAGCACCTGTGGTGGCACGTTCGTGCTCCGGAGCTTTGTCAGCACGAACTGCTTCGTCGCGGCTGAACTCTTGTCGACATCCTTATCTGTCAAAAGACACGGCATTAATCAGTAATACGATTCAGTGTTCATGTCCTCCTTGCAGCCGATCGAGTGTTCGACACTTGGATCTTGGCAGCTCAGGTGACTGACCATCTGGGGAAGGAGACCACGTGAAGAACCAGTAGACGTCGGTGTCGTTGCAGGGCACCATGCCTGCACGGAATCCCTGGCCGACCAACTGCAGAAACCTGGGCTCGAAGCCATGGCCGTCCGGGTACTTGGCGCGTCCGCGCGTGGCCGTGTGCCCCGAGTCCGACGGCTTCGCGAGCCCCAGCCATCTCGCCACCACCGAGTTGATCCCGTCGCACCCGATCAGCACCTGCATCCATCGCCACCATCTCCTCCTCAGCAACCGATCGATCGACAGAGACAGCACGCACGCCATGTGTTTTTACCTTTGCTCTGAGAGTCGATCCGTCAGACAGATGGAGGATCTTGGCGTTGCCGTCTTCCTCGATCGAGACGATCTTGGAGGAGTAGCGGATGGTGCCTCTTGGGAGCTCTTCCTCCAACGCCAGTAGCAGCGCGGTGCGGCTCACGCAGCGTGCCTCATGGGTTCCCCTGCGTCACAGGTGTTTTCAGGTGTGCGCATCACACGACAGGGGGGAAGGGGAGTAGACAGATATATCTTCTCAGTTCTCACCGTTTGCCTTGCGCCCTCAGATCAATTTCTTGCACTATTTCTCCAGTAGCTGAAGACATGACATTCAACCTAAGAACAAACATGGAGAGAAAAAATCAGGCTTATCCGTACTGTACACCGTATGATACAGACATACAGTAACAGTTACAGTTAGTGTGTGTTTAGTTCACGCTAAAATTAGAAATTTGGTTGAAATTGAAACGATGTGACGGAAAAGTTGGAAGTTTGTGTGTATGAAAATTTTGATGTGATGGAAAAATTAGAAGTTCGAAGAAAACGTTTGTAACTAAACGAGGCCTTAGGAGTTAGGACTTCTACTTTAGGACCTCGGTCACCCTGCTGAGTCAACCCAAGGCCTCAGGGCAAGTACTATGAGCCCCTTATCACTAATTTCAAGAAGTCATGTAGACTTATATGATGATGTGGAGAGAAGAGAAGAGAGAGGGGAGCAGCCACCTCTCATGCAAGGGGCAACCTCCACACCAATTTCAAGAAATGAGAGAAAAAGAGATAAGTTGATTGGTTGGGTGTAGTGTAAGTAGATGCAATCTATTGTATGTATTACATCTAAATTAATGTGTAGATGATTTAGACAAAATTAGATGTGACCACTATCTCTATCATAAAACTTGCCCTCACACATTCAGATAATGATAAAGTGGCAGGAGAAAAAAGTTAGTACTACTGTACTCTGACCTGGAGGTCAAGATCTCAGTGACTCAGAGTCTCCTACTGCCTCTGAATCTGTTACATACCTCTGGATCTGCTGGTGCTGGCTCCTCATCTTGTCGCCTACCCCAAGGGCATCAAGCGCGCGGAAGGCGTTCGTCCATGTGATGAACGCCAACCCGGACGTCCGCAGCGTCGGCGACGACTCCAGCACCACGCTCCTCAGTCCTTTCCTGCACGCAGTGCCGCACTTCGATCGGCTCCCATGGAGTTGGAACACGTCGCTAGGCACTCAGAAGCAAAAAAGGTTGTGTACCTGTGCAGTCCGAGGGCCACTGCGAGCCCGGCGAGGCCGGCGCCGGCGATGACGATCTCCCGGCCGTCTGCCTGTTCTTGCTGCATGCTTGCAACTGGCTTTGTGCGAATGCAAACTGACTTGGCTGCAGGAAAGAGATGAGAATAAATGCTGTGAGCAAATCGAGTGAGCGCCAGGAGTTTAAATATGATTGCTGCGACGGCGAGGGTGAGTGAGCAGCAGGCCAGCAGTGAAGGCACTTTGACGTCATCGCTGATGATGATGCGCCACTACGGTCCGGTGAGAGTGGACAGACGTCGAACGGGACGTGCCTTCTCATTGTTTTACAATATCTTGGACACATTTTTTGCGGCAAGATAGCAGCCTCCAGGGAAAAAGTAAATGGGAATATAAAACGTTATGGCATTGGTTAAAGTCAAACTATTTAAGTTTAATTAAGTTTAAAGATAAATATGGTAAAATTTTCAACCAAAGATAATAAATTATGAAAATATATTTAATTATTGATTCAATGAAACTAATCTAATATTATAAATATTACTATATTTGCCTATAAATTTAGTTAAGCTTAAAATAGTTTGACTTTGACCAAAGTCAAAACGTCTTATAACTATAGGAGGAGTAGTAACCACTGCCGCCACGGATGCACCTTCATCAAGGTTTTACTTGACAAAATGACAATGGTCTCATCCAGCACAGACCCAGGGTATGGTGATCATTTTTATGTCCTCAAACTTGCTGATAGTGAAAGTTTTAGAGCCTCATGGGTAAGCCATATGTTTAGGCTGATCAACCAAAGCCTTTTTCCAATTCAAGCAAATCAATTTCATTGGTTAACTTATTTAGTTGAATGGCTTAATGAGTGATCCTATGTGGTTGGTGGTTGTAGCCAGTGGTGGATCCAGAAAAAAATAGCAGTGGGGTCTGAGCAAACTAGATAAGTTACAGTCCCCCCTCCCATCTACATATGGTAAAAAAAATGTAGTGGGTCTTTGTGGGGTCTTTCATAGTCTTTACGTCAGTAGTGGAGGCTCGAGACCCCGCCGCTCTCATGCTGGATCCGCCCCTGGTTGTAGCTACAGTTGTAGCATTGGCACTAGAGAGTTCATAGGATTAGCTACCACCAACGATCCTACTCTCCTGTTGGCCCCGCTATATTTGGCAAATAAACCTCATCCCAATCATCAAGTCGTATGGGCTTCGGGATTGAGATCACATGCAGCCATAGCTAGGACTGCAAGTTAGTGACTCCATGGTATCTCATCCATTCTTTTTCAGATCAAAAGTGCAAATCAAGTGCTACAGCCCGTTACTATAGCGGTTGCATTGCACCGTTACGATGGGATTTGGTTCATGTGCAATCCCTGTGACTACAACTTAAGCAGTCATACTATTGTTCCTACTATGGTCAACTGAGACTTTTTAATTCTTCCATTTTTGCGCTCAACACCTTATCCCTACTAGTGTCCTAGAAATATAGATTCCCATCCTTATCCACAAAATTTAGACCTAAACCCATACATGTTTTGAGGCAGCTTTTATCACAAAATCCAATTCCATCATTTGTTCAGACACATGGGTACAAAATCCATTTCGTAATCTTATTAACTTGGGTACAAAACTGAGTTCCCACGTTTTAGAGCTTGCCACAGTCATAGTCCGCCATTTTCAGAAGCCTTCCGGCGAGCACTCCGGCCAACCACTTGTCCCGCAGAAAGCTGATGACCGCATTGTTACTCTGCTGCACGATGCCGACGACGTAGGCTGTCCCGACGAGCTCGACGCTCCTCCACCGCCGGATTCTAGCGTACTCACGTAGACTCGCCTCGATCCTCTCGCTCTCGGCGGCGCCGCCGCCGCCGAGAAGGGCGTCGCCGAGGCATCTCGCCAGCACGACGCCGTCCTCGAGCGCCGCGCAGCCGCCCTGGCCAAGGTCAGGCGTCATCGGGTGCAGCGCGTCACCGGCGACGCACGCGTTCCCCTTGCTGATGCTCGCGAGCAGGAGCGACAGCGGGGGCCGGAAACGCAGCGGCGACGCGACCACGTCGTTTATGTTGCTCCTCTCGACGACCTCGAGCACCTCGGTTGGGATCTTGGAGCTCCTCAGCTTGGTCAGCACGAACTGCTTCATCTTTTCCGCGCTCTCCTCGACGCCATTACTTTCTGGAACGGCAACTAAACACCGATCAATCACTGATCACCTGTCAGATCACCATTGTTGACATAGTTGACACTTGATAGTGACGAGACTGACCGTGTTCGGAAGGAGACCAGGTGAAGAACCAGTAGGCATCAGTCTCGTTGCAGGGGATCACGCCAGCACGGAAGCCATGGCCGACGAACATCTTGAACCTTGGGTCCAATCCATGGCCATCAGGGTAATGCGCGAGGCCTCTCGTCGCCAAGCGCCCCGAGGACGACGGCTTTGTGAGCCCCAGCCATTTTGCCACAACGGAATTCACCCCGTCGCAGCCGATCAGCACCTGCACCCCCGTCATTAATTTCAGTGGCATTTGCTCTATGAATGAAACACAGTTTCTAGGGAATTACTCTGTTTTTTTTCCTACCTTTGCTCTGAGAATTGCGGCGTCGGCAAGGTGTATGATCTTGGCGTTGCCATCCTCTTCGATTGCAACGATCTTGGAGGAGTAACGGATGGTGCCTTTTGGTAGCTCTTCCTCTAGTGCTCGGAGCAGCCAGTCCCGCCTGACGCAGCGCAGTTCATTGGGTCCTCTGCATCCAAGCGAAGGATCCAAAATTTCGGTACGGTTCAATACAAGAACGTGTGGCCCGTGGAAGCAAAACGACATGCAAGTATGGCCTAGAGTGTAAGGTGAATAGTCATCAGTAGAGATCAGTGGGAGAGAACATGACATCTTACCGTTTCCCCTGCACCGTGAGATCCGCTCTTCGTGTTATCTCTCCCGTAGACGAAGAGAAGACATGCAACCTGTGAACAATTCAGACCAAGAATCAGTCACTATTTTACATTTTCACCACACCTACAAGTGTTCCTCTCTTTTTCTACATACTCCTGAAGATGCAGATGAAGCTTCCTGATCTTGTCGCCCACCCCAAGGTTGTCAAGCGCTTGCCACGCGTTCGTCCACGTCGCGAAGGCGAACCCCGACGCCCGGAGCTCCGGCGACGACTCCAGCACCGAGCACTTCACCCCTTTCCTGCACGCGGAGCAGATCATCATCTCGAGTTAACCTGCGGCAGCCAACACACAGAGCAATACGCATCACCGGCTCACCGGTGGCTCCTCTCACCTGTGCAGCCCGAGAGCCACGGCGAGGCCGGCGATCCCGGCGCCCACGACGACGACGGCTTCCTCGCCGGCTTCCTTTTGTTGCATGCTTGATCGATGCTAGATTCTCAGTAGTCAGTACTCCCCCTGAGTACTCTTAATCAATTGGGAGGCCAGTGTTTAATTAAGACCAAACACTAACTGAGTAAAGCTTCTTTGCTCACTGAAATCTAGTGCTGCTCGTGGCCGCATATATAGATAGGCTAGCAAGTGTTTGGGACCTGGGAGACTGGGAGTGATCGGCACTGGACTTACTGAAGCAGATGCGACGAAAAAGAAGTCAGGTTGGTGGATTCGACCTTGTACACGAACATGCGGAAATTGGATTAGCGAGGGCAGTCAGAGTCGTGACGGAAATGGGAATTTTGTACGGCCCAAACTGTTGGCTAGTGTGTTTGGATGTGGACCATATTTCCTTCCTTTTTTTTTAATGGAATAAGATCACTTTGACTCCCTCAACTGACCTGGATTTTTCACATTTTGGTCCTTTTGAAAAACTTATTTCATAAATAGACCCCTGAAAAAACTTATCCCAGAAATAGTCCTTTTTGGGGCGCCAGAGTGGCTGGCGCCGTCATCCAACGGGACGGCGCCAGCCTCTCTGGCGCCGTCCTCCTGCCACCGTGGCGCACGCGAACCGACGTGGCAGGAGGAGGCTGGCGCCGCCCCAAGGAGGAGGGCGCCAGCATGGCTGGCGCCGCCGCCTCCATTCCTGTTTCTCTGTATGGAGTTGCAACGGTGTCATTTTTATTTTATTTTTTCGGATGTTTTTTCACACTCAGGATCACGATACAACCAACCACAAAAAAAATTTAAACTCGAACTACCACTTAGCTAAGTTTGAAAATATCTAGCATACCACTTAGTCTACTTTGCACCTTCACTAAAATTAGACCATAACTCCTTTAGTAAAACCCTTTGATCAGCATGTTAAACATAATGCACTCTACCACTATATGAAATTACTTAATCTAATTCAAAATATAACCATATGAAATGACATATATAAGTTAAACAGTACGTAGAGATGCAATTTTTTATTTTTATTTCATTTTTTTGATATTTTTTTCACACTTAGGAGAACATAGGAACCAACTGTATAAAAAATAAACTCAAACAGACAAAATATGTGACATGTAGAATTTTCCAAAACTCTACCGAAACGGACAAAATATGCCATCTATTAAAATAGGCATAACTTTCTCATACGGACTCGGAATCAGGCAAATAATATATGCACGGACATCTATAGAAAAAGTTACATCCGATTCTCCCCCGCTTTGCCGGGTTCGACGATATTAAAACCTCCAAATTCCGCTTGCAAGATTGTGTTTTCGAGGAAAGAAGTTTTTCGGTGGAGCTTTGGAAAATTCCACATGCCACATATTTCGTCCGTTTGAGTTTATTTTTTACATGGTTGGTTCCTGTGAGTTCCTAAGTGTGAAAAAAATATCAACAAAATAAAATAAAAATAAAAAAGTTGCACATCTCTCTCCTCTGCACTAGTTCGGAAAGAGAGGAGAGGAGAGGAAAAATTATACATGTCACATATTACGTCCATTTAAGTTCAATTTTTCTATGGTTGGTTCTTGTGTGTCCCTAAGCGTGAAAAAAATATCAAACAAATAAAACAAAAATAAAAAATTTCGGGGGGGGGGGGGGGCGCCAGCCACTCTGGCGCACTCCCCCTAGCCACCTCAGCATCGCCCCGCCACGTCGGCAGGGGGACGGCGCCAGGCTGGCGCCGTCCTGTTGAACGACGGCGCCAGCCACTCTGGCGCCCCAAAAAGGACTATTTTTTGGGATAAGTTTTTTTAGGGGTCTATTTACGAAATAAGTTTTTCAAAAGGACCAAAATGTGAAAAATCCAGCTCAACTGACCACCGAATCTAAATCGTATCCCTCAACCGCAACACCAGAAATCTCGACCCCCTGAACTTATAAAACCGGTACAATTTGCTCCCTTGGTGGTTTTGGAGGGCGGTTTCACTGACGTAGCGCACACGTGGCAGTGTTTACCTGTTCTTTGTTCCACGTGGCATTGACGTGACGCTTACGTGGCATTAAAATTAAAAAATATATGCGGGCCCATTTGTCATTCACACAAAAAAGTTTTTGTCGGACTCACTGACATATGGGTCCCACATGTCATCCTCTCTTATCCCTTCTTCCTCCTCTCTCTCTCCACCTTTCTCTATCTCTCCCTCTTTTTCTTCGTGCGTGGGGAGCGGCGTCCGGATTTGCGCCGCCTCTGCCGCCACCGCAGCAGTAGGGATTCGGGTTTGGTGGTGGCGGCGCTGGAGAGGCATCGGTGGTGCGTTCGCCGCGGGGGATGATGGCGGCTGGGCTAGGGCCGCGCCTCGCCATGCAGCAGCAGTCGACAGTCTTCGTGCCGCCTCCACCGTCGCAGCAGGGTTCGGCTTCAACGGGTCCGGGAATGAAGCGGCGCTGGCGCCACGGGAGATGGGGATGGTGGCGAGGCCGCGTCAGCCGTGCAGTAGCAGCCAACTCTCGCGCCGACGCCGGCACCGCCGTTGCTGCAGCAAAATCTGGAGTGGCGACGGTGTCCCCTTCGCCACGGGGGATGACGATGGTGGTGGCGCCGTCGAAGGCGTCGCGCGGCCAAGCAAGAGGAGCTCAGGAGGGCATGGCGGCTAGAGATCCAGAGCTCCGAATCGGCCATGACGGGCGGCTAGAGGACGAGTTGCGGCAGCAGGGCGGCAACGGCAGCCTGATGTGGTCGCAGCAGCAGAGACGGTAATGGCTCGGTGGAAGGCGTTGCCGGAGACCACTCGTCACTTCGTGCCGCCGCCTCGAGGCCAAGACGAGCCCACCGCCACCGCAAAAAACGAAGGCGACGCGCAACCTTGAGTTGCTCCCGCGCCCGTCACCCGAGGTCCACCGCCCACCGCCGCCACCACCACCTGCTCGCCGCCGCTGCCACCGAGCCCCCGCCTGCCGCCGGCTCATGTCAAGGGGGGAGAGAGAGAGAGAGAGAGAGAGAGAAATAAGGGAGAGAGGAGGAAGAAGAAGGGTAGCGAGAGAGAAGATGACATGTGGGACCCACATGTCAGTGGGTCCTATAATTTTTTTGTGTGAATGACAAATGGCCCCGCATATATATTTTTTATTTTAGTGCCACATAAGCGCCACGTCAATGCCACGTGGAATAAAGATCAGGTCAACACTGCCACGTGCGCGCCACGTCAGCAAAACCGCCCTCGAAAACCACTCAAGGAGTCAAATTGCACCGGTTTTGCAAGTTCGGGGTGAAGATTTATGGTATTACGATTGAGAGATACGATTTAGATTCGGTGGTCAATTGACGGAGTCAAAGTGATCTTATTCCTTTTTTTTATTGGAGTAGGCCAGCACAGGCCCATTCGTAGACAGCCTGGGCCGAAGTTTTTGGGGCCGATAGGAGGAGCCGCGGGTCCCACAAGTCAGTGTCCTGTTCTCGGTAGAATACAGGAGCACCGGGAGCGTCGCGGCTGTGACCGCGAAAAGGACCGTGAGTACGTGTCTCCATGAACCGTAAATCGCTCTCGCTCGGAAGAAAACACGGAGGAAAGCGGCACCGGCAACGCGTCCGGGACAAAGGGCCGGCTTCGGCACCCGGCACTGCAGATTTTGATCTATTATAAGTAGGTAAGCGGGTTTATCACTTTTGCCTCTATCACTAGTTCGCTCTCATGAATAGGACGAGAAAGAGATGATAGGGAAAAAAAACGAGAGGAGAAAAATTAACGTGACTGTGAGAAGGAGGGGGAGAGATGGAGAAGTATACGGCGTTGAGGAGTCGGACCAGGTCCGTCCAACTGTCCAAGCGAGTGCGACCACGATTGAGACTACCGGTCGTGACTGACCGTGGAGTCAGGTTTTCTCACCTGTATTGATGACCTTCTTTCATTTTTCATGTTTTTCCCTCAACACTCAAAATTTTCTCTAATGAGTTAAGTTCTACTAGCTTCGTACTCCCTATAACAAAAAAAATAATGGTCAAAGTACAGCTTTAAAAATCATAAAAGTTAATACGATTCATATTTTATATTTTTGACACGGAATAAATATTTTTATGTCCTATTGATAAAATTGAATAACCGTGTCTTTTATATTTAAAGCCCTTAACCTTTAATTTCTTTCTATTATTTTATTTGTTATACATATCATACAATTAATAATACCCCGTATCTAGAATAGTGTACCATGTACCATATTCGTGTCTGTATCCGTATGGGAGTGTCCGTATAACATAGCTAACCCTCATTTGTGTTTTGTGCCAACTGTATCACAAAAATCAGTTCCATCATTTGTTCATGCAACCCACATGTAAGTACAAACAACGATGTATTTGGATCGTGGGATTGGATTCTAAACTCTTGATGAGATATAAATTAAATTATAGCTAGTTAATGTATATCTATAATCAAATTTACTTTTTTCGTTGTAACTTGTAGAAGTTAAATTTGATCTTGCATGTTTATGGATTTGTTTATCACATTTTAATCTATCATGTTGATTTTTTTTTATTTTATTTTATAACTATTTAGATGACATGCAAACAACAAGATGATATCCCTCAAGAGTTTAGAATAGTTTCTAGTTTGGACCGTCCATATTTTTTATGGATAATTGCTCATTTGGCTCTGTTTTGAAGCATAACTACCAATCAGACTCTACTTATTCTAATTTGCTCATTTGACCCCTTTTTCAAAATCAAAGTTACCATCTAACCCTACTTTCTCTATGATGTTAGGGCTTCATTCAAGAAAAGGGAAAAAAAATCCATTTACTAGTCAACCTGATCAAAATACCCTTGATGACATTCAACCATATCCATTCATTAGCTCCCAACCCTATCTCTCTATGTTAGGTGAGGCAGTGACGACGCACACGTAGAGGGATGGCACAGTGGTGCCAGCGTCGCCGGTGTGGAGAGGGAGGGAGCGGTGGTTGCGCATGAAGAAAGGGAGCGACGACGAAAGCTGCACACGAACGGAGCAGCGATAACGGCGTGCCAAGAGAGGGAGCGGTAGCGCACGCCTCGACAATGATGATGAGGAGCGATGGCAGCTGGGCCCGGGCGTCAGAGCTAGGACTAGGGCGGGAGGATTCAGTAGGGGATGGGTGGCGAAGCTCAGGCTGAGGCGGGTGGATGCGACGGGGAAGGAGTGTGGAGCTCGGGCTGAGGCGGGTGGATCCAGCGGAGAAGGGGCAACGATGGCTCGATGATGATGAGGAAGAGCACCAAAGGCAAGGCTCAGGCGGCAGAGTTCGGGCTGTAGCGATGGGTAGGCGATCAATCCGGTGGCGGCTGAGTATCTAGCTACAGATCCGGCGGCACCGAGACGTGCGGACTGCGGATATGGTGGCGGCATCGTGGCAGTGGTGGAATTCAGTGGGTGTGGGTTAGTTGTCGGCAACAACGACGATGACGCCATGGCAAAGAGGATGGTGGTTGCATTGACACGAACCTTCTTCCTCTCTCCCATCCACAAGCTGTATGTATTTTGGGTGGATGTTATCCAAAATTTTGTTAAATTTTATTCATATTTTTCTCAATCTAAATTAAATATGTCAAACATCTATCAAATTTAAAGTCCATTTTATCAAACTAAAGTCAAATTTAACAAAAACAATTTTTGACAAAAATATGCCAAATTTGATGAAAATCTGACAAATCTAAGTCAAACTTATCACAAATCAGTGAAACCTACGCTAAGTGCATTCATTCATTTGTATCAGGGGTCACCGATATGGCCGAAATTATTTGAATTTTTGAACAAAATTTTATCAAATTTGAATAAATAGTACCAAATGAGAACCAAAATTTCTGAAATTTTGTTATGGAATTTTGAACCCTGCCCTCAACCACTGATAGCAAAATATTTTTTTATTAGAAGCAGAATTCATAAATCAATAGTTGGTCACTTGTACTAATGATAATACAATAATAGTGTATTACGAGTAGAGAGTCTAGAGAGTAGAGACCACTGTAAAAGGATCCCGGTACAGAAGGCCAATAACCATTCACATTTTAGAGCTTGCCACAGTCATAGTCCGCCATTTTCAGAAGCTTTCTCACCAGCGCTCCGGCCAACCAATTGTCACGCAGAAAGCTGATGACCGCATTGCTGCTCTCCTGCATGAAGCCGACCGCGTAGGCTGTCCCGATGAGCTCGGCGCTCCTCCACCGCCGGATCCTCGCGTACTCACGCAGACCCGCCTCGATCCTCTCGCTCTCCGCACCGCCGCCGCCGCCGCCGAGGATGGCGTCGCCGAGGCATCTCGCCAGCACGACGCCGTCCTCCAGCGCCGCGCAGCCGCCCTGCCCCAGGTCGGGCGTCATCGGGTGCAGCGCGTCGCCGGCGACGCACACGTTCCCCTTGCTGATGCTCGCCAGCAGCAGCGAGAGCGGCGGCCGGAAACGCAGCGGCGCGGTGAGCACGTCCTTCGCCTCGCTCCTCTCGATGATCTCGAGCACCTCGGCTGGGATCTCCGCGCTATTCAGCTTGGTCAGAACGAACTTCTTATTCTTGGCGAGAGCATCATCATCTGGAGCAGCAACCAAACATGCGTGCACCGGTTAATTCCTGGTCACCAATCGATTCACCATTCGTGACAGTGTGTCAATGACAGAGACTAACCGTGCTCAGAAGGAGACCAGGTGAAGAACCAGTAGACATCAGTATCGTTGCAGGGGATCACGCCGAGACGAAAGCCATGGCCGAAGAACATCTTGAACTTGGGATCGAAGCCGTGGCCGCCAGGGTAACACGCGAGGCCTCTCGTAGCCAAGCGCCCCGAGTAGGACGGCTTTGCGAGCCCCAGCCATTTTGCCACCACGGAATTGACCCCGTCGCAACCGATCACTACCTGCATCCGCGCCATTAACAATTCAAGAATTCTCAGTTCGCAATCTTTGGGATTCACTGTGTTTTTTCTTCTTCTACCTTTGCTCGGAGAATTGCGCCGTCGGCTAGGTGTAGGATCTTGGCGTCGCCGTCCTCTTCGATTTCAACGATCTTGGAGGAGTAGCGGATGGTGCCTTCTGGTAGCTCTTCCTCCAGTGCTCGCAGTAGCCAGTCCCGCCTGACGCAGAGCATTTCGTTGGGTCCTCTGCATCTAAGCCAACAATCATGTAAGCGTTGTCTAGAATGAACGGTGTATATAATCAGTAGAGATCAGTCCGAGCATGCCATCTCACCGTTTCCCCTGCTCATTGAGAGACGTTGCATGTGCCATCTCTCCGGTGAACGAAGAGAAGACATGCAACCTGTGATGTGAAAAATTAAGGTCTAAGATATGGAGATGGAAATTTGCCTCCAGAGAATACAACCTCCTTTCTTGCATTTCACGTAACAATTTAATATGATATATTAATATGTGATATGTCATTGTATAAACATGCAGGTTAGAATTCGATCTCTAAAAATATTTATAAATAAATAAAAATATAACTTGTACGTGTAAATTCACGGTCATATTTGTCTTTTTACAATATGTAGGAGCTAAATTTAAACATACATATTTGTGAAATAGAAAATAAGGAATACTCAAAGAAGTTTGAGACCATCTAGCAGAACACAACACGAGATTAATTTAAAATAAAATATAATAATTTTAAATTAGAAAAATATAAATATGTGAGTTCAAGTATCAATACAATTTTGAAATAACTGTAATCCGGAATAATAAGAAATAGTGAAAACAGATCAATATTGAACACTATACAAGACTAACTAAAATCGGAAAAAAAATGAAAACAAAATTAGAAATTTAAAAAAAAGTTCAACTAGGAACACGATTTATAAATAACAAAAATTTGGAGTAAAAAATAAATAATATTGAAAAAACATTCTATCTATAACACAACAGTGACAATGATGATAAAAGAGAACAACATGCGAGCCGTAAAGAGGAAGAGTGGTGACGGTTAATGGGAAATTAAAAAACAATATCTAACTAATGATTAGGTTCAGTAGGGGAGAGGCGACGGGAAGGTCGTATAAGAGTAGTGTTGTGCTGGTTGACGGGACTATTAGAAAGTAAAAAAAGAAACCTAATAATAATAATCATGTTTAATTTCTAAAATCTCAATGACAAGAACATCGGGCATGCCGTGAAGGAGTCTAGTGACGGCATTTGAGGGGACTTCCAAAAAAATATGGGCTTGTTCAGATTGTAGCCAAAATAAACCTTACCAAGTTTTGGCAATGTCAAAATTTTGGTAAAGTGGTAATATTGCTAAAATTTTATAGCAGGATTTCTTATGTATTGATCAAATTTGGCAACAAACTAAATATAACCATTTTTTTTGGCAACTTTACCGAAAAATGGTATGGTTGAAAATAGCATCAATAGATAGACAAAGAAGTGAAAGTCGGTGGTGGGTGTGACTTTTAAAACATATAAAAATAAAAAAACAATGATGATAAGATTTATTTTAAAAATCTTAAAACAACGAGATTATTATTTAGCAAATTTTAAATAAATTAGATAATTTTAAATGAGTGCTAGCCGTGTGTTTACGCAGACTACCAGCTAGTTCTAATGATATGTAATAATTTTCTCGTCAAAGATATATCTTCATGCAGTGTTTTAAACCAGGTGCGTTGTACTTACTCCTGAAGATGCAGATGACACTTCCTGATCTTGTCGCCTACCCCAAGGGCGTCAAGCGCTTGCAACGCATTCCTCCACGTCGCGATGGCGAACCCCGACGCCCTGAGCTCCGGCGACGACTCTAGCACCGTGCACTTCACCCCTTTCCTGCATGCGGATCAATCAAGCAAGCAAGCAGATGATATCAGCTCAGCTCAAGTTAACATGCAGCTGCCAACACGGCGACACATACAGAAAGCCAACACATTCTCAGGGGGCTCAGGGGGTGTTTGGGAGAGAGGGGCTAAACTCTCAAAAACATAAGTCCCTCTGGTTTTGTGAGAGGGGCTAAAATATAACACCCCCTCAGTTTCCCACCTGTGCAGCCCGAGAGCCACGGCGAGTCCGGCGATTCCGGCTCCCACGATGACAACGGCATCCTCTCCGGCTCTCTTTCGTTGCAATATAGTTGATGCCATTCTACTAGCTAGTAGATGGTGCAGGCTAACTGGGGGTCACTGTTTTATAAACAAACCAAGTTCACATAGGCCGTGTCTAGATGTTTTGGCAAAAAAAAAAAAGTTTGACGTATACGGACACACATTTAAAGCATTAAACGTAAACTAATAATAAAACAAATTACAGATTCCGCATATAAACTGCGAGACGAATCTATTAAGCCTAACTAATCCATCATTAGTAAATATTTACTGTAACACCACATTGTCAAATCATAGCGTAATTAAGCTTAAAATATTCGTCTCATGATTTACATGTAAATTGTGCAATTGGTTTTTTTATTCATATTTAATGCTCCATACATGTGTCCAAACATTTGATGTAAAAAAAATTAAAAGTTTGAAGGTAAATAAAGACAGTCGTACTAGTCAGCTTCTGTAGGCTAGCTGTAGCCACAAGCTTCTTACACCTCACGTTTTTTTAGCCGCACCTCACGTTTTTCTAGCCACAAAAGTCCTTATTGATCCACGTGGCTACAGCCTACGGGCTGCATCAATCAAGTTCGTACTCCTCCTAGTATTCCCTCGAAAATAAACCAAACTCTTACAACAATATAACACATTCTAGGACGATTAGTTTATTTTAGAATAGACGGACTCTCTCTCCATCCCATAAAAAACCAATATAATACTGAATGTAACATATATTAGTATTACGAATTTGGACATATCTCTGTTTAAATTTGTTGTACTGAATATGTCACATTTAATTTTAGACTCGGTTTTTATGGGATAGAGGAAGTAGGTGCTTAGGCCCTCGAGTCTGTGATTAATGGGCAAATCATACTCACTCCATCCAAAAAAAAGGCAAACCGTGGATTCCCGTGCTAACGTTTGACTGTCTGTCTTATATGAAATTTTTTTATAATTAGTATTTTCATTGTTGTTAGATGATAAAATATGATTAATACTTTATGCGTGACTTATCTTTTTAATTTTTTTCATAATTTTTTCAAATAAGATGAACGGTCAAATATTGGACACGGAAACAAGGGTTTGTCTTTTTTTAAGGCGGAGGGAGTATGCCATACCTAGCTTGACAATTGATACCCCTGACACTGATTGAAGCATTGTGTGGCTGCTGTACTCTAGAAAATTGATATTTTGCCATTATCGAAACGGTTCGCTGGAGTGCCACTTACAAAAGTGGTCTCGTTAAAATGCCACCTTTGAACAGGGATAACATGTTGCAATGCCATTTCATCCATTTCTTCTTAGTTTAATGATTTTTGTAATATTTTTTCTTGCTGAGATGACCAAAATACCTTGATCCTATCTCATGTCTCCTCCATCTCTTCCTACTCTCCGTTGCAGATGGTGGGCGGCTTGGTGGTGCGGCTGGGGATGGGGACGGCGGCGGCGCGGCTGGGGACGGGGACGGGGACGACGCCGACGTGGGTGTGGAAGGCTGCTCGGCTCGGCGGCGCGGCTGGGGACGGCGTCCCTACGCCGCGCGGGCGCGGCTGCCGCCCATGGACCCCGCGCTCAAGACCGACGCTAACTGCATCCGGGGATGCGTCTCCCAGGTCTGGGTCCACGCCGCGCCGAAGGAGGGCGCGCCGGACAGGGTCAGCTTCCAGGCCGACTCTGACGCGCAGCTCACCAAGGGCCTCGCCGCGCTGCTCGTGCTCGGCCTCTTCGACGCGCCGGCGCGGGATGTCGCCATGGTGCCCGTCGAGTTCATCGAGTTGCTTGGGATCAGGCAGAGCCTCTCGCCGTCTAGGAACAGCGGCCTGCTCAACATGATTAGCCTCATGAAGCACAAGGTGCTGGAGATCACCATCGGTGAGGTAACCACTGAGGAAATTGGTCGCCAAGATGTGGTCCAAGAGGTTGCCGAACCGCCTGCTGCTGTCACCGTCCCCATGCCCAGCCGAGCCGCCGCCGCCATCCCCGTCCCCAGCCGCGCCGGCGCCACCCACCATTGGCAATGGAGAGGAGTAAGAGATATATAGGGAGAGATGAGATAGGATCCAATGCTATTTTGGTCACTCAGCAATAAAAAAACATTAAAAAATCATTAATTTGAGAAGAAATGGATGAAATGACATTGTAATATGTTGCTCCTGTTTGAGGGTGGTTTTTTAACGAAACCACTTTTGAAAGTGGCATTCCAGCGAAATCCAGTTTTTGACCATGGTAAAATATCAATTTTCTCGCTGTACTCGCTGTCCCCTGCTGTAAGGTCTCAAATGACGCTTCCTAGAATTTCCCATGTTCTCTCCGTCTCAACGTGTGGAATTGAAGTACTAGTATAACGGAATTGAGATATTACGGCTGCCTCGAACCACAAAGCATCTAGGAGTATATGTTAAGACAGAGAGAACACATGAATATATTTTAGACGGAGATAACGCATGATAAAGTAGAGGAGAGAACACGATAAAGATATGACAAAGATGTCCTTTATCTTCTTATTTATTTGTTCTCGTAATTAATGAACTTTCTGAGTCTCTTTTAGATGCAGGCAATCAGGTTATATTAAAGGGATAACGACGACAGGAGGTACAATTCTTCATTCTCTGATGTATGCAAATAACCTAATCACTGTGGGTCAGGCAAATGATGGAGAAGCTACTAGAATTTTTCAAACTGTTCAAACTTGTTGTGCTCAATCTGTTCAAACTCCTAACTGGGGGAATTTTCTATTTTCTTTAGCTCAAGCACTCCTAATCAACAAAAACATCAAATTCTCAATATTTTTCATGTCCCTCTGATAGAAAATTCCACTAAACATCTTGGTCACCCTTTGATTATTAACACAAGAACTAGAGCTTCTGCTTATAAGTTTATTATTTCCAAATTCAAAGCTCGTCTTACCTCTCTTAAAGCTAACATGCTCTCTCATGCTAGCCACTTGTCTTTAATTAAATATGTTTTCGCTTCAATCCCTATTTACTGTATGTCCACGATTTTACATTCTAAGAGCTTATTGAACAAGTTGACAGCTATTATTAGCGCGGTTTTGGTGGACAAGAGTGCATAATGAAGGCTCTAAGAAAGGTATTTCCTGGCGGTCTTGGAATGATTTTTGCAAATGCATCTCCTAATACTATTTCTCAGCTTTGGGATGACAGGACATGTTGGGAACTGAGCAAACTCAATCAAATATTTGATCAGCCAATGGTACAACATATAATGAAAGTTCAGATCGTTCCTCGGGACAATGAAGACAAAATTTGCTGGATTCATAATTCTTCAGGTGAATGTACTTCAAAGAGTGCATACAAGCAGGTATATAATCTATCACATTCAGTTTTCACAATTGTTACTTCTTTGCAGCTTAATATTCTTTTGAAAATCTGTTCCACTAAGTGCATTCCTCCTAAATTTAAAACTTTTATTTGGAGACTTAATAGAAAGGCTCTTCCAACTGTTGCCAATCTTCACTTAAAATTCTGTGACATTCCTGATATTTGCTCTTGTTTCAATTCTTCAGAAAATGAGGTTCATCTTTTTTTTCACTGTTCTTTTGCTAGAGTCACTTGGCATATTTCAGAAATCACTTTTGTTAATCGCATCACTGATTTAATGTATAATGTCTCTGATATTTTAGCTTACTTGCTTGTCACAAACAAATCTGAGAACATCCTACAAAAAACTTGTGTCATGCTTAGGTTTATTTGGATAGCTAGGAATGACTTTTTTTTTTTGCCGGGACGGCAAGAACACCGGCCGTAGTATATTAAGAAAGAATGACCAGTATTTTAAGAATAAAAAAAAGACCGCAAAAAAAAGAGTTTTATTTGTATCCTCAAGATTCAGAACAGTAGTTACTTGACATAACACTTAGGCCTTAGCTACATTACAGACCTGCAAAGGCTCCCATTCCTTTTGGAACTCTTCCAATTAAAGATGATATTGCTGCTGCCTCTATCAAATTGTTGCCAGGAACTAGATGTTATGTAGATGCTTCTTGGAAAGATAATCTGTTTGGGTTTGGTATCTTTATTCATGACTCTCTAAATCATCAAGCTATTTTTGTTCAAGCAAAATCAGATCTTTATGTGTCCCTTATTCGGGCAGAACTAGCAGCTTTTTAAGTTAGCTATTTTCATTTGTGTTAAACTTCACATTGCAAATCCAGTTTTTCTTTCAGATAATCAACAGTTGGTGTTTCTTCTCCAGCAATCAAATTACATAAATCAAAATCATCATTGGAGCCTTTTACCGCTGCTTGCAATAAAGCTGCGTTAATTTTCAGGTGGTGCTTCAATCAATACTACATGGATTCCAAGAGAAATGAACAAAATGATTGATTACTTATCTAGGAAAAGGCCAGAGAATCAAGGGTTGTTTTGCCTATAGCAAGCTGTCAAAAATATTAATCATGTTTGTAATAGCAAATACTAGTTCCACCAAACAAATCCTGCTTTTTGCCTCTTGAGCAGCTGAAAATGTTGTTAGAGTGCGCAGCCCGGCCCACCAACCGTGGGCCACCCAGGTCACATTGGGTCTGCTCCACCACAGACCCAACCGAAGCCATAACTTTAGGTCCTAGGATTACACAACCCAAAAGACTAGTCTGATGGGGTGAGGACCGCCCCACCTTTTAAGTGGGACTAAACCCAGCAATCTCCCTCGTCACACATCGGGCCCAACAATCTCCCCGTCACATTAACCCATGTGACCTCGAAGACTTGTTACCTGGCCTCAGGCCCAACAATCTCCCTCGTCACATTAACCCCATGTGACCCCGAAAACTTGTTACCCGGGCTCTCCACCATGTGACCCATGGAAATTGTTCCGGGTTCCAAACCGGAGCTAGTCTTTTGGGTTGTGTAGGCTCAGGACCTAAAGTTGTGGCTCCGGTTGGGCCTGTATTGGAGCAGGCCCAATGTGATCTGGGTGGCACATGGTCGGTGGCCCAGGCTGCGTACTCTAACAAATGTATCCCTTGTGCACGTGTTGTGCTTTTAATGTTTGATGTAACAAGTTCTAAAAGAAAGAACATGATAAAGTACAGGGAGAAGGAATGAGAGATAATAAATTATTCCTTACACTTCCTCCGTCCCAAAATATAATAGATTTTATATGGATGAGACATATCTTAGTACTATAATTTAAACAAGTCCAGATTCATAGTACTAGAATGTGTTTCCTCATTTCAAAATCCCTTATACGTTGGGACAAAGGGAGTATAAGAGGCACTAGGTTCGGCAATAGCAAAAAAAAGAGAAAAGTTTTCTGTTTTTTCGTGCGCACTTTTCCAAACTACTAAATAATGCATTTTTTAAAAAATCTAGATGCGTGACCCACACAATTGTGTGGCTAGCATCTATACAAAATTATCTATTTTTAAAATAATTTTACATAAAGTTTATTAATTAGATATCTCGTTGTCTTAAGATTTTGAGAAACCAAACCTTATCTCCCCGAATTAAATTTGAAAATGTACTATTCATTTGTTTTTTCTCTCAGAAATATTCGGGATGCAATTTTTTTACACAAATATACTATCGATCTCGCAGAACCATTAAGTGAAAAATGACGTGGGTGTGACGACACAGATAGTGTCGTGCGGTGACATTGCGAGACCGAGCTGTCTCGCATATGGAAATAGCGAGACCGACGTCCATGTCGAACGGCTCCAATTTAATTTGTGATTAATTACCCAATTAATGACTAACTAATAATAATTAGTGATTAATTATTTTAATTAGCAATTAATTAATAAATTGCTAATCAGGATAATTAATTAATTTGAAGCGGCCAACCTGTTCGGTCTCGCTCGCTGGTAATGCGAGATCGAGCGGTCTTGCACCGTCACTGCGTGACACAGCGCGATCTCGCGCCGTCCGTGCCGTCATGCCCATATTATTTTCAACCAACGGTTATACGAGATAACGGTATATTTCTATCAAATAAATTGCATAAGGAATATTTTTGAGGGAAAAAAAAGGTTAATGAATAGTATATTTTCAAAGTTAGTTCTTAACCTTCCTGTGTTTCTAATTTTATAGTTTTTAAAAATCGTACCTATTGCTACCCTTACTCCTATCGCTCCCTTCGTTATTTGCTCGATCTACCATTGTTTTTATTTATTTTTATGGAACCTTTAAAAATTAAATCTTATAGTTTTTAAGGTTTATTATCTCATTAGTTTTTATTTTTATAATTTTTATAAGTCCCGTCAAACAACGATACCTTTGTATACTCCTCTAATGATAATACAATAATAGTGTATTGCGAGTAGAGAGTATAGAGACCACTGTAAAAGGTTCCCAGTGCATAAGGCCAATAACCATTCACATTTTAGAGCTTGCCACAGTAATAGTCCGCCATTTTCAGAAGCTTTCTCACCAGCGCTCTGGCCAACCAATTGTCACGCAGAAAGCTGATGACCGCATTGCTGCTCTCCTGCATGAAGCCAACCACGTAGGCTGTCCCGATGAGCTCGGCGCTCCTCCACCGCCGGATCCTCGCGTACTCACGCAGACCCGCCTCGATCCTCTCGCTCTCCGCACCGCCGCCGCCGCCGCCGAGGATGGCGTCGCCGAGGCATCTCGCCAGCACGACGCCGTCCTCCAGCGCCGCGCAGCCGCCCTGCCCCAGGTCGGGCGTCATCGGGTGCAGCGCGTCGCCGGCGACGCACACGTTCCCCTTGCGGATGCTCGCCAGCAGCAGCGAGAGCGGCGGCCGGAAACGCAGCGGCGCGGTGAGCACGTGCTTCGCGTCGCTCCTCTCGATGACCTCCATCACCTCGGCTGGGATCTCGGCGCTCCTCAGCTTGGTCAGCACGAACTGCTTCTTCTTGGCTAGAGCATCGTCATCTAGAGCAGCAACGCACCGATCAATTGCTGATCACTAATCGATTCACTGTTCGTGACACTGTGTCAATGACAGAGACTAACCGTGCTCAGAAGGAGACCAGGTGAAGAACCAGTAGACATCAGTATCGTTGCAGGGGATCACGCCGATGTTGATTAATTTCAGCTGTGGCCCAATGCAAGCCGATTCTCTCGGAGCTGAACGGGAGGATGAATTAGTCTAGCAGGAGTTTGTTAGAGATGCAAATAAGTCGCAAATCAGTTAATCGTGACCGAGTCTAGCGCTGGCAGTGGCGCGGGTGTGTGCATGGAGTTCAGAGAAAAGCGGATCGTGGGATGGCGCGATTTTGCCTCGGATTCCTATTTTTTTTGCGTTGAGTATAAGTAGTTCTCT